AAGTTCCCAGACCCGGCTTTTCATCCATACTGGCTGGAAACAAAACAACCTCATCCGGCGCAGTTACGTACTTGAACTGTGATCTATCCCAGAGTTCAAAGATTATGTTACATGACTTTCGAAACATATAAAAACCCTGACAGAGCGGCTCTTTCGCAGTAGATTACCTGTCATTTTGTAAGCGAAATATTTTTTGCTAACTAATTTTAAGACATGGTAAATGAGCAAATGAAATGAACAAGCTCAAATCCTGTCTCATTCAGTACCAACATATTATGTAGTTCTTCTAGCTCATTCAAGTGGTTGACCTAGATTGAGGTTTATAAAGCGAAACATGAATTTGTCAGTCAGCATCTAGTTATGTTGCTTTCACTACGAGTATTCATTCTTGGGCTTAGCCTTGCTGCTTGCTCAGCTTTACCTAGTTTTAAAGGATCGTAAGTGTTTACTGACTAATAATGGATAGAATGTAAGGATAAGCCTCAGACATTAATTCTCTGGGATGCGCCCCGTATTCGGCTTCCATTCACTTTTGCGTGTGTTGTAGCATTTTAGGGGATTGTTAATGATTGGTCACAAATACTGATAACATGTGATAACAGCTGATACTGGACCATAGAAGACGAGCAATGCTCGACTGCTGACCATTATCATATTCTTGATTTTACCTTACCACCTCTGCATGTTTTATACGGTAAGACGGAATGTAAGAATACAAAGGATCAAGTCTGGGAGTGTTAATTAATCCCGTCTGAGGGGTGCGCCCTGCGTTCGACTTCTATTCGGAATTGCAGTGGCGTTTTGAATGCTTCTGTGTCCTGTACAATAGGTTAACGGAGTTAGTCGATGTAAAAGTCAGTGGCTCTATACTGCCAGAGGAATCTGGTACCGAGTGATGGACCCTGAAAGGATTGAAACTTTGGTTCGAGTGGGAGGGTATCGGTCTCGGATCCGAGCATGTGCGCTAGTGCGCCACTTACACCTACCCCACCTACGCCCACTACCCAATACCCTACCCGAATAGAAATCCCAATTAAAAATTTGGCTCAAGAAAAGTTGGAACGTTTCTTACAAATCAAAATTTTAGACACGGCAGCACCTATGACAAAGCCAGCGATGGTCACGACGGGTCATATCAACACAATGGACACTACGATAGCGCCAATCATGCTCATGCTCATGAAGGCGGAGGACATTTTGAAGAGGATAAGCATTTGAAAGCAGGAAAATATGCCAACGCTGATGCTGTGGGAGCACACAAATCGGGTAGCCATCACGACAATGATGCCAAAAAGCATTCCGAATCTTCAAGTAAACATGGAAAAGGTGCGGAGTTTAGAGCTTAGAGCAACAACCATCTGTTTACATTTTGCATAGCCATCATGATCGCGTGTTTTTTCAGATACAAAAACAAAATCATATGGTTATTTCGACTACCAGTATGTACAACCTCAATATCACGTCGAAAAATTCCACACCGATGAAAAACATGCGAGAAAATACGATTCCGATACTCATTCAGCAGGAAATCAGGAACGTTCCAATGGGGGTTACTACAGTAAAGGACACGACAAGTATCAGAAGAGCCATGGGGCTCATGGCTCTCATCATGGTGGCTACAAAGAACATGAAGGCAGCCATGGGCACTCCAAGAATGGACATGAATCCGGTTACGGT